GAACTCAAATGAAACGAAAGCGGAAACAAAGGTCAAAACGGGCAAAATCCATTAACCAAGGGGCAAAATGGTCAATTCATAATTAAGAAGAGAAACTTGACTCTAAACAAGTTAAACAAGGTGAATACAACCTAATCTAGTTATTTCACAACATTCCAAGAGGTTCCAAGAACATTGGACAAGAATCCCACAAAATGCCCTTTCCCGGTTTAAGCGAAAACTAATCCTACTTTACTAAAATATGAATAACTCCCACTGTGATTGGAATCTGAGAATGGCATAGGTACCATTGGAAAGCTGACTCAAAATCCTTGAGTTTAGGCTTAAGAATAACCCCATTTGGGTTAGAAATGAAGGAAATATGGCCATTTAAAATTGGAACATCAGTGCTGAAACAGAACTGAAGAAGCTGGAGTGTGGAAGCTATTTAGGTCGACCAAAATGACCAAAACTTCTATTGAAAACATGTTTTTGAGGTGTGGTTACTTTGGTAGACCGAAATGAGCCATCGGTCGACCGAAATAAGCCATCGGTCGACCGAAATGGCCTTGAATATGACTTTTGGCTACTGGAAAGTGATGTTTTGATGCTCAAATGAATTTCAAAGGCCATCAGTCGACCGAAATAAAGTTTCGAACTACTGAAACACCTCGAAAAGCTACTACAAGGCTTGCTATGAACAAAATTTGTTGAGACTTCACCCAAGCCTAACACCCCAACATGAATATGGACAAAAAACATGATTTTAAGCTATACAAGCATGCTCGCAAGTGTACTTTATATATATAAACATGTTACAATGGCCTACGGCCTCATTACATTTCATTTACAAAATTTGACATGCCAACCATCTAAAGTTAGAAAGGTTACATTTCAAAGGCAAAACTTGAAGTTTAAATACATACACTTGAACTTAAAGGTTTGTGACCCTTGGCCTCCCATCGTACATATCAAATAGGTTCCGAATAATGTATCCAAGTACACTTTACATACAATAAGGCAAAAATGGCATGTTGAACCCAACTAAGTATTACAACTTCAAAAAAGTAAAACTTAACATGCTAACACTTGCATGTGAACAAGAATACTTTAAAAGAAACTTCTAATCTCCAAACCACCCAAGGTAAGTGCAAATCTCCAATCTTGAATCCTGTACCTGAACAAATCCCCCAGTAACTTCGGGGTGAGTAAACAAGTTTACTTGTAGAGAATGAGCATATATCGACTCGATTTCTTATAGATTTTTAGACTATCATGAAACAGTTCAAAAGGGTCATGCCACCTAACGTCTATGTCAAAGGTGAGACTCAGGGAGCATCCTAAGCTACCTTAAATCATTTCTAACATAAAACACATCCTTTATGCAATTTCAACAACATAGGTGCATGCTATACAAAATATCAAAACATAAATTCTCAAAGTTATCACCTTGAAACCTAAAATGGAATAACAACTAAATATAACAATTTAGTATAATTAGAATTTCTAATACCACACATTAAGACATAGATTCTCTGAGTTATCAACTTGAAATCTAAAAGTATGCAAACAACTAAATATAACAATTTAGTATGGATGTACTTAACAACATCAAATCGCCAATAGCCAAAACCACAAGTCACAATTAAACATGATTGTCAATTTGGAATTGAATGTGAAATCAAATAGTGGAAGACTTGGACATCACGTCTTGGACTAAACCAAGAACAAAATGGTTATTCCGGGTATTAACCCGCTGGGAAGACCACCCTAGTGCGCACTATCTCAATTGGGGAGAACTCATACCTCCAGTACTAGAACCAAACTCTAGCCATATCACTTGTAACAACAATGTCCCAAGACTCCAAAATAATCCAAATAAGTTCACAACTTATACATAATTTATATAATGCACGAAATCACCTTCCATGCACAAGTAGGTTGAAACCACATAATCCATGCCTTAGAGTTCAAATTCTAAAATGGCATATATATAATGTCAATTACAAGGTGTGCAATTCATTACATAGGCAACAATATATTCCATAAAGAAAACATGTTCACATGAATATAAATATAACAACAATGTTATCCAATACTCAAAATACAATTATGTGAATACACAAAAGTCCAAATCCATGATTTATATATAGAGACAACTTTTACAACAAAATTAAATCCATGGAACAACAAGATAAAATTTAATTAAATAAAAATAATTAAATTCTCTAGATTTCAAATCATTTCCAAATGGCCTCATTCAAAATCCTAATTGGACCAATGGAACCATAAAAATAGATTTTAATTAATTCTCTTAATTAAAGTCTCTAGATTTTCAAACTCATCCAAATGCTCTCAAATTAAAGTATGTTAAAGAACATGCCAAAACTTAATTTAATAGCATATCACAAGTTAATTTCATACAAGGCACGTCGATGAGAATTAAACTTTCACCAAAGATAAATATTAAATAAAAGAGCAATTTTTATTCAAATTATCCTAATTTAATATATGCTAACAAACACATCAAAACTTAATTTCCTAGTATGCCACAATTTAATTCTAAGTTGTATAACATCATGAGAATTAAATCTTAATCATAGAAAATAATTAAATTAAATTCTAGATTCTTAACAAAAGCATGCATACAAGTTGTATAAGCATCAAAAATGTGTAAGACAACAAAAATATGAAATTATAACACCCCCTACCTCCATTTGAGATGAAATCTCAAATCCCTACCAAAACGAAACCGCTTCGAATCCGACGAAACTTTTAGGTTTTGTCGGGGACAACACAATGAACATAACCCCCAAGAAAGCCCCATCAAAATCACAACTTGACTTCAAACCCGAACTCAAGAAATGGCCAAAAACGAATTCTAATAAGGGGGAAAGGTAGAGTATGGTAAGGCAAGCATAAAACACTAAGGCACTACACCTTTTTACTAAAGGGAAGTGGCTGGAAAAGAAGAGAGAAGGGCGGCAGTCCCTTGGCTGCTGGCCAAGAGAGAGGAAAGAGAGAGAAAAATCTAATTTTTCTTCTTAAGACCTATTTATAGAAAAACCCTAAAAGTGACCCGAAAGGGCCCCGCTGGATCTGGAAAAGTGGAATTTGAGCGGACGCGCTCAAACAGCAAAACTCTGTGAATAAAAAAGAACCAAAATGAGAAAAGATGAACAACGGAAGAAACGGCATTGAAAACCGAGTCCCGAGCAAAGAGATATGCCCCAAACAAGTTTGGCGGTAACGGGGGCCAAAAACCCTGAAACTGGAGAAAAACCACCAGAAGGAAATTCTATGAGTACACGACTCGACGAAAAGTGAAAATGAACCCCGTACGAGGATCCAGGCTCAAAACAAGGCATTTAGCAATAATTCTCACTAATTGCACAATGGCCCCTCCAAAAAGTGAAAACTGCACAACTGGACTAGAATAAAAATATCTTCCAAAAATATTTTCTTAAAAACCCCTGAAATAAAATATATTTCAAAAGATATTTACGAAAAACACCCCAAAAAATGGAAATGTTTCTGAAGAACTGTGTATCCATGCCCATATGGACACCGAGAGCAACCAGAGTACTTTCTTACAAAAGTAAATATACGTATTTCGTAGAAACCACTTAGAATGAAGATACGTGAAGTCAAAAACCAACTCCGAACACAAGAAATGAGGTTAAGCCAACAAAGTGACAAACAGAGAAAAGACAAAATAGGGAAAGTGACGAAATAGGGAAAAAGACGAAAAGTGAATAGTGTCCGAAAAATGAAATTATGGAAATGACTTGGTCCTCAAAGGAAGTTGTTAATCCAAAGAAAAGAGTCTTGAAAACCATCCCTGAGCACTCAAGATGACACTAAGTGATGAGAAACTGAACTCAGAAAGGAAAAGATCAACGAAAAAAAAATATCTGTGAAAATCTGAGAAAATGGAAAGGAATGAAAATGACCGGATCATTACATGTTGTCTGAGAGGCAATAAACAAATGTGGTATTCTCCTAAGTCACATAATTCGCGTGGATAACTACTGCTCTAGAGCTCCGCACGCGGGTTAACGATTTGGGAGCGGATTCACCCCAAATTCGCAAACTCGGTTTTTTGAGTTCGAGAACTCAGATTTAGAATTCGGGAACTCAGTTTAGAATTCGGCTTTTGTAAAGAAGAAGAGAAAAAATGAAGTCCGAAGAGATATATACATATATATGTACATAGATTTACATAGCTATCGCGTTGATGAAGCTATACTCGTTTCAATCTTTGTATTTGTGAAACCTTCAACCCCATTGTGAATCTGTAATGAAATGAGAGATAAGACAGATCAATGCAAAACAAAATTTGAAGATGAGAGAACATGATGGAGATGGGATCATGGGTTTGTATCTCTGTGCGGCTGACGAAATAGAGGGTTTGTATCTCTGGGACGAAATGAATGAGAAAGCTTGAAGGGAAATTAGTTTAGGGTTCTATGCCGTTGAAATGGTAAAGTGACCCTGCGGCTGCCGTTAGGGGTTTTTTGGGTAATCCTTTTAACATGTTATGAAATTGATCCAAGGGTTGAGATAAAATCATGAATTGGGGCAATTTTATTACTTAACTAAATGGATTTAATTTGAAATATTGGGCTTCCAAATAGGAATGTACTAATTGAGCTCATATAAATATAAGTGGACTTGGACTAAAATTATATATATGGGTTATGTTCTTCACTTCAAGGTTGGGCCTCAATCATTTTGAAAAAAATATTTAGTAAATTAATATAGTCATATTTCACATAAAATAATTATAAAAATATAAAATATATTATATACAGGTGCTCTCAAGCCACTCTCGCTCTCAACTAATTTTAGAATTTGTCGGTCTTAGTCCCGTTCCCGCTCCCACATTATGTGATTTAGGTATTCTCCCTGATACATTACTTTACTACTTTGTTGCCTTGTCAATTTTTTACGCTTTGTATTTTTTCTTTTTTAATTTACTCACTGACTTACTCACTGACCGGAACAGATGTCCTGTAACGTTGGAGAGGATTTCATTTCCATAAAACGGCATGATTGGTCCATCACTTCATCAATTTTCACAGGGATGCACAATGATTGAATTGGATTGAAACCATTATCCAACTGATGTGAATGATTTCTATAAAAATGGAACCATAACCAAATCGATACGTCTTCAAAACCAAATCAATAGGCATGGATCAGATTAGTTTGAATTGGATCCGTGTGCATCCTAAGTTTCCACCTCCACAATGCAAATTGGGCTCAATTTCTATGAATTAAAATATTGGGCTTGGCTCTCCTATGATCTCAACAGCGCTCGGGCTCGCCCAAGCTTTAATTTTCTTCTTCCTAGTCCATTTCCTTCATTTTTCGTAGTCCGTACAGCTTCAGTCTCCGCTACCGACCGTTGAGACGAGAATGCAGCAGGACTCACCATCGAAGCCTAACCCGGACTCGTCCGAGTTGGGAATCGGGCAGCGAGTCCACTCGGCTGGGGACTGCCGGCGAATCGGGACGGTGAAGTACGTAGGGGTCGTGGAAGGCTATTCAGGGGAATGGGTTGGCGTGGATTGGGACAATGAAGATGAAGGCAAGCACGATGGTTCCATCAATGAGGTTCGCTATTTCCAAGCGAAATCAGCTAAGTCGGCTTCTTTCGTTCGGCCCAAGAACTTGAGCACTGGCATTTCTCTGTTGCAAGCTCTCGAGATCCGATATCGGACCACTTCCACCAAAGAAGAAGAAGGTATCGATCTTACTGTGCAATTAGTTACTTTTATGTATGTCTAATAATAAACGAAGAATGTTGTTTAGATTTCTCTCAATTTTTATTTTTTATTTTTGTTTTTATTTTAAAACAATGTGAATCAGAAATACAAAAAGTATAAAAAATGTGTGATGCAGATATGCTGTTCTCTGATGAAGTTTCATAATTTATGAGCCACCCACATCAATTGATTTAAACCCGCAAGTCAATTGAAATCAATTCTCAAAGTATATCCATTCCAAATTTTAACATGTTTTTTTTTAATCAATTTGTCATTTTTTTAAAAATCATTTATTGGACTACTCCGTATTTGTCAGAATTTACTTTGAAAACAAATAAGGAAGCTGGTTTGGGCATAAAGGATTTGGAATAGTGGGTATAGAGCTTTTATTGCTAGGTATGTTTGGTATGTGTTAAAGGACCAAAAGGGATTGAGTTTTTCTTTGGGTGGAATTTACAGGGAATATATTTTTCCAGAGATGTTTCTAGACTATTAAACCTACAGTAATATTTGAGTGTGATAAGGATTGTAATATTTGAGTGTGCTAAGGATTGTTTCTCTTGAAGAGAGATTGAGTTATACTTATATGAAGTATATCATCTCTCCTTAGATTCATTGACATGTTCAATTTGGAGATAGTAGGAGCCATCATGTTCAATTTTTTTTTTTACCCTGGCAAAGAAACAACAACAGCCTAATCAATGACACAATCTTTGGCTGCAAGAGCAAGAATATCAGCGGGAATAAAAGTTAAAGCAATATCCTCGATAATGTGCTGACGGGAAAGCTGGGCAAGAGCATGGGTGACCTCATTACCATGCCTAAGTACATGGCTAAGTCGATAGTTAGAGAATCGCCAAAGTGCCACTCGAATATCAAACACTACTGACTGAATCTCAACCGGACCACAATCATCACCATCAATTGCCTGGACCACCAACAAAAAATCGCATTCAAACCAGAACTTATCAGAAGACAAAGTTGAGGCCAGATAACCGCTTTACGCAAACACATAGCTTCAGTGATAGTAGCATTTGAAGCCAGAAAAGGAGAGAAAACCATTGCATGTAAAATAAGACCCCTAGAATTCCTAAAACAGAACCACCACCCCTAATCTGAGAAACCGAAGAAAAGGAAGTATCCACATTACATTTAATAATACTCTCTAATGGAGGCAACCAATGAGAAGGGGAGGGATGGGGACCCAAATTTGATCTAAGGCCAACCGGAGAAGAAGTTAAATCAAGGCCTGTAGAACTGAGAGACTCCTTAAACTCCCAAAAGGAGGAACAAGCTAATGAAACCACCCTTAGCGGATCAAAAAGCCTGCCATCAAAAACCAATTTGTTTCGAGCCTTCCAGATACCCCAACAGGTAAAAGCCACCAAACCTAAAACATCCTGAACCTCATCCTTCGACCCCGATCGCTCTACTAATGTAATCCACCAAGCCACAAATGATATAGATTGGTCCACCGAAAAATCAAAACTTAAAGGCAATAATTTCCAGATCTGGATAGAATGAGGACAAAGGAAAAGCATGTGTTCCAAGGATTCCGCCTCATCACCACACCTGGGGCGCACGACATCGACAGACATACCATGTAACCGAAGAAGGTGGCGAACCGGAAGAGCAAGATGACAACATTGCCCTAAAAAATGCTGTATCTTTGGTGGGAGTTTGCATTTCCATATGCTATGCCACAACAAGTGTTGTCGAGAAGTAAGAGAATCAACACCCTGAAATCTAGCTTCCCCCTGGCGCCGCAATTTAAATGCCAGAAAATAAGCGGACTTTACCAAAAACTTACCATTAGGCTCGCCATCCCACCCCAACCTATTTGCTTTAGAGAAGAGACTGAAAGGGTAACTAAGAATAGCTTGCACAATAGGGGGCGGAAATAAAGATTGAATCAAAATGACATTCCAACCAGTCCGCTGAGCCATCAAATAAGTCCCCCACTACTTCAGGAAGCACCAACTGAGGAGGTCGTATCAGCATACCAGTCAAACCAGGAACCAATGATCATTCCAAATATTAATAGAGAGACCATTGCCCATAAACCATTTAGATCCAACAGCAATGAGAGATTGTGTAGACCAAATACTGCGCCAAGCCCAAGAAGGATTTGATCCCAATGGCGCTTCTAAAAAGGAGCAATTGCGAAAATATTTAGCTTTAAAGATCTTAAAAGCCATTCCATTTTGGTGAACCAAAAAATTCCAACCCTGCTTAGCTAACAAAGCATCATTATAGGCCTCAAAATTTCGAAACCCTAAGCCCCCTTCATCTTTAGCAGTACACAAAAGCTCCCATTTTACCCAATGTATAGAAGCAGAGGCACCCTCTTTACCCCACCAAAATTTACGAACATACTTCAGAATGGAATTGCAAAGGTTACGGGGCAGCTTAAAGCAGGACATAACATATGTGGGTAAAGCACTCAAAATTGATTTAATTAAAATTTCTTTACTTGCAGGAGATAAGAGTATAGATTTCTAAGATGTTAAGCGAGTAGCGACACGTTGGAAGATATAGTGAAATACATCCCACTTGGATATACCAATAATCGCAGGCATGCCTAAATATTTTGCACGCAAACCCTCTTCCTGAATACCTAGCAGCTGACACAAAGCAACACGATCCTCCAAACAAGTATTACGTGAAAAGAAAAGAGAGGATTTAGAAAAATTGATCTGTTGCCCAGATGCCCTTTCATATCTCTGTAAGAGGTTCTTAAGAAAAACAATCTCAGTAGTAGAAGCTTGACAAAAAACAATAGAATCATCTGCAAAAAATAAGTGAGAAATAGGTGGAGCTTGGGGAAACACCCGAATCCCAGATAAAACACGATGCTGAAGGGCCACTTGCAAAGAATGAGACAGAGCTTCTGCACACAAAATAAATAAATAAGGAGATAACGGATCCCCTTGGCGGAGACCGCGCATGGGACGAAACAACCCCACCAGTTTACATTTGATCATCACAGAATACGATACTGTTGAAATACATGCCTTAATTAAAGTAATCCAATGAGCATGAAAATCCAATTTCTCAAGCATGGCTAAAAGAAAAGGCCATTCAATTCGATTATAAGCTTTACTTATATCCAATTTCAATGCAAGGAACGATTGTTTACCTTTACGTTTATTTTTTAGGTAGTGGAGAATCTCATGAGATATCAAAATATTATCTGTAATGTGCCTGCCTGGAACGAACACACTCTGAGATTCACTAATAATAAAGGGAATAATTTCACGAAGTCTATTTGCCAGCACCTTAGCAATAATCCTATAAGGAACAGAACATAATGATATTGGTCGATAATGGGAAACATGGGTGGGCGATTCAGTTTTAGGAATTAAAACGATATTAGTATGATATAGACTAGATAGAAGATGATCCGAATGCATAAAACTACATACCGCCGTAATAAAATCCGCCTTAATAATATGCCAATATCGCTGATAAAAAAACGCAGTCATACCATCAGGACCCGGAGCTTTGCATGGCTGCATATAAAAAATAGCTCCATGAATTTCCTCCTCAGAAGGCGGCCGAATTAATCGATTATTCATATCAGGAGTAAATCGTGGCGGAATGTGCCGTAAGAAACGATCAATACCAATCGGATCAGAAGTACGAAACAAGTCCTGAAAATAGTGAAGAAAGAGATCCTGAATCTGGGAATCCTCTTCAATCCAACGACAAGAAGAATCCTCGAGTCCAGAAATATGATTGCACCATCGGCGACGAAGAGTAGAGGTATGGATAAATTTAGAGTTGCGATCCCCCAACTTCAACCATTGAATCCGTGATTTCTGAAACCAATACAGTTCCTCCTGTCGCCACAAAGAGTGTAACTGGCTCTCCACAAAATGGACCTGCTCAAGATCGTGTTCATCCGAGTGCTCTTGCAAATGTTGTAATCGAAGTTCAGCTTGTGCAATGTGGCTTCGAGAGTTAAAATTGATGGTCCGAGCCCAGGTAAGTAAAGAACGTTTACAAGACTTGAGTTTTTCAGAGCATCGAAACAAACGGGACCCGATAACTGGACGACTCCAGGCATTCCGAACAATAGTCTCACATATAGGATCAGCCACCCAGCGGGCATCAAAACGGAAAGGACAAGATTTCTGATGAAAAATCGGTACCAGGTCAAGAAGCAGAGCACTATGATCAGACCCCACCACCGTAAGATGACGAAGTCGGGCTTGGGTGAACATCTGTCACCACTCCTTACTGCTTAAAGCATGATCCAGGCATTCCTGAATATTAGCTAAACCACGACGATGGTTACACCACGTAAAGGGATAGCCCGCAAATCCCAAATCTAGTAACCCACAATCAGATACTAAAGTTTGAAAATTCTTGAGAACCCAGTAGGGTGTTAGAAGTCCACCTCGTTTTTCCACCGGAGATAATAAATCATTAAAATCACCAATAATAAGCCACCGATTACCCCACAAAGGCTGCTATCGTTTGAGATATTCCCATTGCGCCGCACGAATACGATCATTAGTGCTTGCATAAATAAAAGTAATAAACCAAGAACCTTGGCGAACTGAACATAACTCCACTGTAATTTGATAGTCACAAAAATCCACGATTTTAAATAAATGGTCGACCCGCCAAAGCAAAGCGAGACCCCCCACCGATCCCACTGAATCCACACACCAAACCTAAGGCATCTTGAGACGGCGTTTCAACTGTTGAAGATTTCGCAAACTAGTGTCGCATTAATTATTGAACAGTAAGAGGATTACCAATACCTTGACAATTCCAAACCAACACTCGTAGAGAAGCAAGATGAACCACACAATGTGATACAACTGGAATATTAGGAAAAGAAGAACCAACAGAGATACCTGAGGAAGACGCTCTGTTACTAGAAGCCGGACAAGAACGACGCAAAAATCGGCCCAAATCATGAACAGGGGCCTGTGAGGAAGACGCACAAGCCAAAGATGGGGTAACCATAGATCCAGAACCATGGTTCAAAACTTGGGCCTCTAAATGAGAAGAGCGAATCGCAGAGGGAGATAAAGGCCCAACACCAGCCCAATTCAGCAAAGTAGTCATCCTCGGTAACCACGGTCAATAGCATACATGAGACGCCTCCAGAAAACTTAGGGATTTGAGCCCAACGCCGAGAAACCGTACTGCCGGCAAACCAACCGAAAAACACACAACAGCACACCATGTCCCGTTACGCAGAAGCCCCAAACTAGATACAAGCGCCACCAAATGAACAAACACAAACACCACAACAATAGCCAGATAATTGTACAGCAGCCCAAAGAGACGAAACAACACTCCACAATTGGGCAGCCAAGCAAGATCCTGCAGTACACCAACCAAAAAAACAGAAAGAAAGGGAAGGAGAAGGGAAAACAGAGCTGGGTAATTGAATCAGAATCGCCGGACACCAAGATCAGACCCAACACCCACACGCAACAACCCCACTTTTGCTACACTCAGCACCCAAAAAATTAAACAGAGAACTAACAAAGTTCAGGACCCAGAACCGTCATAAACCAGAAAGCTGAGTAACAAAGCTGGACAACAGTTGTACGATCAACCAAAAAAAGTATAGAAGAGAAAAAGAAGGGAAAGAAGGAAACCCAAAGTGAGACAAGCTCACAGCAATCACTCCGACAAGCGGAGAACTCCAACAAGCGGAGAACTCTTCAAAGAGAAGAGAATTGTTGCATTTAACCCCCGTTGGTTAGCTTCAATTTGAACACTGTGTTATTGGATACTTCTAAGGAAGTTTTAGGAATGAAGTTAGAGATAGAGAAATACATTGGAAGCAAAAGGACTGAGAATTAGTAAAACTAAAATGGAATACATCGAATGTAAATTAAATAAAGTTTTGGACTATGATAATATAACAATAGCAATTGAAGACCTAAGGAATTTTCAAAGTAATCATTTTTTATATTTAGGATTAATAATACATAAAGATGAGGAGATAGATTATGATGTCACTAATAGGGTCAGTGTAGGATGGACAAAATGGAGGCCAAAAACGCCCAATCCAGAAAGAGAGCCAAACGGGTGATAAAGGTCATCAGGCCCAGACAAATAATAGACTGGACGGGCCCAAAGGAAAGTGACAGCCCACCAGCTCATAGGCTTGCTTATCACATTTCCACTGTAGGGTAATGAAATAAGTGTATAAATAGGAAAGAAAGGAAGGAAAACGGCAGAGTGTTTGGTGTAAGAGAAAAACTTTCCATCAATAGAAGGGATTTTCTTGCATGTACAAATGTATCCCACGTGATAAAAGAATATCACTTAAGTTAAAAGGGAAATTGTAGAGGATGGTTATTAGGCCAATCATCTTATATGGGGTAGTGTGTTGAGATTTAAAAAAAAGATAATATATATATATACACACAAACAAGAATAACTCATTATGTAGATGAAATGAGAATGTTGAGATGGAAAATAGGAATGACTAGAAGCAATAAGATTAATAATCAAAGTGTGAGTGAGATCAGAAGTAGCGATATTGGTGAGAGAATAAGAGAAAGTCGGCTTAGGTGGTACGGACACATACAACGTAGATCCATAGATGCATTTGCGAGAAAAAAGATTAGTTTACATATAAAGGTAAGAGACAAAGATGCCCCAAACTAATTTGAAATCTAATTAAAACTGATTTTAAAAAATAAATATAGGAGGAGACGTGACTTATAATAGAATAGGATGGAAAAAAGAGAATTCATGTGGTTGACCCCGTTCGTTTGGGATAAAGGCAAGGATGATGATGATGATATTCGCCTTCATGTCATATGAGCCAGAGCTATATAACTAAAAGATCAGATTCATTACATGCTATTTTCCTCTTTGTGTTCTGTTACGATTTGTTGTTGGAACACTCTCTCTTTATGACCCTTGAGACCTAGAATGTAATGATAAGTCACCACAATACTCTGGTGCTATACATTTATCCTGCTACTGGATCTGCCAACTAACTATGACTGCTAATGGATCTGCCAGCTACCATTTATCCTGCTATAATTTTCCTTGTCTACGTTGTATATGTTTTGAATCATGCACTGTATCAACACATCGGAGAACTTATTTATATCTTTTATGTAATGTTACAGATGAAATGTATGTTCTCTCTGCAACAAACAAACGAGTATCAGTTCAACTTCTTGGTAAAGATAAAATTCAAGATAAACTGAGTCGCTTCGAAGAGTTGACAGGTGCATCACTTTCTTATTTAGGTGTTAGCACTCCAGGATCCCAATGTCAAATCAGTACCATTGTGCCAAGTAAGTTGGTTTCTTTTTCCTCTTTCAAATACCGGTTTGACTTTTGTTTTCCAATAGTAATTCAAATAATTCTTACATTAAATAATGTTTCTAACTTTCTGCTCTTACACTATTCGTTTTCTTTATTATGAGGCAAAAGAATTAAGCGCAGTATAATACTAATGCTTTTTTGCAGATCTAAAGGAGCTCGATTTGACTGGAAATCTGCTTTCAGAATGGGAAGTATGTTACTTAATGCTAATGGTTATATTAGCAAAGGCTGTATGTTTGAGTTCAGTAGTTCGTAACATGCAACATTTTATAGCTGATGTTATCCTGTCTTTAACCATGCACATTAAAGCTCACTCTCATCAAATTTATAGCTCTTTTTTTATGACCTAGTTGGTTTTGCATGTACTAGTTATTATTTGCATATTACGTTATCTCATAATTTCTTTATAAAACTTCCAAAATTTCCATCTACAACATTTAATGCTAATGTTATTTTTCTATATGAATTTAACTTTTATTTTGGCATCTAATAGGATGTTGAAATTTTACAAGTTATACTCGCCAAAAAAGAGATTTTACATTTTTGTTAAATGTCCTAGTCTAATTGGCGTATCTAATTGCATTATGAAGTTATGGAACGTTGAACCTTAACTCCTATTATTTAAGCGGAGAGGTATTCACTGAAAAATTATCAATTGACAAAATTTTCTACCATGAATGGGAAATTCCCCAGTGTTCTGCTATGTGCAGAGTAATGTGCAATAATATATATATATATATATATATATATATATAAGAGTGAGGCATCCTTGAATAATAAAGTGTTGGATCCTATTTCTAATACATCTTAAATGGTCTGATTACTCCATTAACTTCCAACGAGACAGCAAGACCTTCCCTCTGCTAGTTACTGTAGATTTGATGTTATAGAGGAATCAGTGGTGAAAAATCCTCCTTGTTTCCTATTTTCTAATTATTTCCATTCTCATAATTTCTTCTCCTATATAAAGGAGCCTCCACCATTGTATTGTATATGAAGTTGAGAGAATATTATAAAAGTAATGTAGCCCTTTGGGCTCTTTTTTTTTTATCCTGAATGGGATGGTTTTATATACAAAAAAAAATTGAAGTACAAGTGCATGAGGAGGCATACCTCTTTTTACAATTCAAAAACTAGAATAAGCCCACTTCCAGTACAAACTGGACCAAAAAACATAAAACAAAACCATAAAGCAATTAAAACACAAGTATAAAGTCATCTAAACTTAGTTTGAGATAAGCCAAAACTTCCCAAACTATAGTCTTGGCAACAAATGCAGCCTGATCTTGACAACCTTCATGAAGAACAACATTCCTAATAGCCCATATCTTCCATATAGTAGTTGCAAAAACAGCACTCAAAATCTTTGTCTTGACAGATTTAGGAGTAGAATGTAAACAGAACCAATCAACTACGTGCATCAATGTGTCACAAACTGGCATTTCCATGTTCATCAGGCAAAAAATTTCCTGCCAAATTGCATGTGCATAAGGACATTGATAGAATAAGTGATCATTTGTGTCCAAACTCTTCCAACAATTATGACATATAGATGTTAAAACCAGCCCATGCTTCTGCAAATTAACTAAAGAGAGATTTTTGTTGTGTAGGCCCTAGTGATTAAACCACGTAATATCTGTGTGTTCTACTTGTTTTATTTATCTTTTCGCTTCGTTTTATGTTTTACAACATGGTATCAGAGCCTAATTTCTCTTCCTAGGTTCGGATCCCTATTTTGGGGTATTCCCTTAGCATTTGAAATGTTGCTAAGGGTTTCTCGGTGCTATTTGTGACTTGTTTGGGCTACCGGTTTTTTCGGCAGTAATGTTCTTTACCTTTGCCGTGCCTCCGGCAGTTTTTATCGACTTGTTTGGGCCACCGGTGTGTTCGGTAGCATTGTCTTCATCTTTGCCATGTCTCCGGCAATTTTTATCGACTTGTTTGGACTGCCGGTGTGTTCGGTAGCATTGCCATCACCTTTGTCGTGTCTCCAGTAGTTTTTTGTTGACTTATTTGGGTTGTCGGTGTGTTCGGTAGCATTGATCTTTGTCTTCTTTCTTCATCATTCACAGTTGTTGTTACCCGTCATCTCAATGGCAAGTTGGGCATTCATGCTCCAACTTGAGGGAGAGTATTGAAGATTTAATAGAGGAATCAGTGGAGGAAAATCTTTCAGTAATTGATGTTGTTTCCTATTATTGAAGATTTGATGTTACAGAGGAATCGGTGGAGAAAAATCCTCCTTGTTTCCTATTTTCTAATTATTTCCATTTCATAATTTCTTCTCCTATATAAAGGAGCCTATGTTACATGGACTTGGGTATGGGTGTCGGACACGGGTTTGTATCCATGCGTCGGACGTGTCAAATCTCCAAACAGAAGGACACACGGACACGGCTAAATATTCATTTTATTAATTATTTTATTTTATTTTATTTGCTAGAGTAAAGTAATGTTTTTATCTAATATAATATTTAATATAGACATTTAACTCTTTTTAAAGTAATAATATAATGTGATTGAATGATTAGATATGTTTTTTTAAGTACATGTCTAACCAAAAGTGTCGGACACATATCCCATACCCATGTCCGAGGGATATGTGTCCGACATGGGTACTTCATTACTTTTGAAGAGCCCATGTAATAGAGAAAGGAGCCTCCACCATTGTATTGTATATGAATTGAGAGAGTATTATAAAAGTGATGTAGCTCTTTAGGCTCTTTGTGCCGTGGATGTAGGCCCTAGTGGCTGAACCACGTAATATCTGTGTATTCTACTTGTTTTATTTATCTTTTCTCTTCGTTTTATGTTTTACAACACTTTGCTTGGGGACCGGACCTTCCATTAAAAGCAGCTGTTCTTATTCAATATTCCAGTATAACATATATGTACTAGGAGTAGGTGCGTTCACTTAAGTCTTCCTTTTGCTCCCAAGGAAGCTAAAACTCTAGTCAAGCCTGTAAGGAAGAAATGCTTTAGGTAGCCACAGTAACTTCTATTTGGTGTTGGATGTCATGATGGTTAATAAGTTATACTCATTACGTTCTTACCTGAGGAGCATATTACCAGTTAGCAATTGTTATATGCAAGACTGATGCTTGCACATCTTATTATGCAGGATGTAGGCACCATCTGCAAACAGTTGCCGGCCCTTGTTGCTCTCAATCTGTCTAACAATTTTATGGCACGGGATATAACCCGGCTACCCCTGCTAAGTAACATACGCATTTTAGTTTTAAACAACACTGGCATAAATTGGATGCAGGTAACCATTTTATAATTCTTTTTTCTTCCTCACTTTTGTATTCCAAATTTCACTTGTATATCCAAGTTTATTTGTTTCATTTTACCAGGTTGAAATACTTGAACATTCACTTCCAGTTATTGAAGAGCTACATCTGATGGGAAACAAATTACGGGCAATAACGGTTTGCTATGTTCCCCTTTTTTGGTGATTTTTATTTTTCCTTAAATAATTGCCTGAACACGTGTGCTTCCTAGAATTATTACTTATCAAAAAAAAGTGTGCTTCCTAGAATTACACAACCCAAGACCCAGGAATTGAGCCATAGGGTGCAAGAGTTCAACTCAAATGTGCAATATAATTCCTCAATGGTCAGTAAACGAACGTTAGCCACCATATGATTCAATATAAGAAGATTTAATGACCCTCAATTAATATATTTTAATAAACAATAATATTTAATAAGATAGCAGCATATTTTAAGATAATAAATTTCAATAGAAAACTGTATACTCAAAGGTATACCTTACTTATCGGTAAAACTACTACCAAGGGCTGTAGCCTGGTGGCACTTCTTCACCTTCCAAAGTAAAAGGGGCAAAGTGAGTGTTTGTGTTTCTAGCCAAGTTTTTTTCTAATTATTTTTTAATTTTTTATAAAAGAAATTATCATTAAAAATCTCTAGAGCCATCATGCAGGGCCCTTTACTCTCCATTAACATTCAAACTTTTTAAGGGTTCTCATCCAAGGACCTTACCATTCATTAACATCTCTAAAAAGATATGCACAAGTGCACTTGTATGCAATGAGTATAGGATGGCAAAATGCTGGTACATTACTCTATTTCATACGTGTCATATTAGCCTAGCCATCTTGATATGTATATCTATCACAATATAAGTGGAACTGGAACATAGGCCAAAGGAATCCAACTTGACGCATGTACAGAGTGAAGTGCCATATTGTATGTGCCTATGTGGTGCTATACCCATCTTCCAGATCATACAGAACACATTGACTTCAACTTGAGGTATTGGTACTGTGAGTTATGCCCAGATCTTGCCCCATAACATTGAACCATGGAACCTTCCCTGATAATGGTGTCCTATATCATACTTATGAATGACCTTTATTCGACTACATATGATTGTCTCATATGTGATGACTTCGCTGAAGGCATCTAATCATCAATTTTCAGGAACCCTCGTGTAGACTTTCTCTAACAAGATCTTGGCACGTTAAACACTTATTAAACCATGAGGACTTTTCTTTAGCAAGCTTTGTCTTTAGGACTTCTTCTCCTTTATAAGCCTTGTTGCCAGCACATAAAAGGCAACACCTTTTCCCCCTCAGAGAAGCTGATAAGCCTCATCACGATTACTACTTTCTCACAAATAAACCTCGCCATTGGTACCTCTTCTTCTCATGTAAGCCTTCCTGTGGGGATTTCAGTCACATAGATAAGCGTCACAGATGACACTAGTAAACAATGATCTTTTGTCCTCAGATAAACATTGCAGTCATAGGGAAATGGTCGCTTGAGGATTCACAAGGATTTCCTCTCCAAGCCTTGTTGATGAACTAAAAGAACTATGGACATTCATTGTAAAAATTGGATAGGTTCAATTTATGATCATCAATTGGATAGGTTCAATTTGTGATCATGAGGGTTTGCTAAAAGGATCTATTATTCTTCTTTCTTTTTTCTTTTTATTGAATGGGGTTATTTTATTTAGAAAGAACTACAAAAGTACACAGAAACTTGAGGGCATCCCCTCAATACAAATCTATGGAAATGAAAATACCATTTCCAATACAAAGAAAACAAGAAAATGAAGACAAATATGAAAAAGTTGCAATACATCAAAGACATGGATCTGGGAATAAGACAGATAGGTCTTGAAGCTGAACTCCAGCCATAAAAGGCAATCCCACAGGATCAACTGAGCCACCTCTAGAGATGAACTTGAAGAGCCATTGTGAGCAGATGCATTCCTTGCAGACCATATTCTCCACAAAGTTGTTGGGAAAAGGCTACTGAGAAATGAAGATCTGATAGAAGTCATAGAACTCTCTTTATAATTATGTGAAGACCACCCAATCAGCTGTTCCAAAGACGAAACAGATGGAAAAGGAATATGTAGCACTTCAAAAATACAATTCCAAACAGCAACAGCAAAGGGACATAGGCTAAAGAGATGATCTTTAGAATCATCACTACCCCAGCAATTGTGACAAATAGCAACCACCTACAAACTTCTCTTTTGTTGAAAGAGAGAGAAAAAGAGAATATATGAAAACTTATATGTTATTGAGTCAATAATACAATAATACAATGGTGTTTATATAGGAGAAGCTACGGGATTAGGTGAGTGGAGAACAAGAAAACCCTATACATGGAAATTTTATATATGGTAATGAGGGGTAGGTGACAACTCATACAATACTAATTGTACACGTGTGACAACTCATACAATACTATACAACACTCCCCCTCAAGCTGGAGAGTAAATGTCAATAACTCCCAGCTTGCTACATATGGAATCAATAGAGTTCTTGGGAAGCGCCTTAGTGAAGATGTCTGCCAGCTGTCTACTAGAAGGAACAAAAGGTGTAACAATCTCATTCGAGTAAACTTTAGATCGAATCAAATGGCAATCTACTTCAATGTGTTTAGTCCTCTCATGGTATACTGGATTGCTAGCAATATGAATAGCTGCCTGATTGTCACAATGGAGAGGAATTGGGTACTGGACTGAAATCCCAAGTTCTTGTAAAAGAGTTTTCAACCAAGTAAGTTCACAGGCAATGTGTGCCATGGCACGATACTCTGCTTCAGCACTGGAACGAGCCACAATTGACTATTTCTTACTCTTCTAAGTTACTAGATTTCCTCCCATGAAGGTGCAGTAACACGTGGTGGACCGTCAATCAGAAGGAGAATCGGCCCAATCTGCATCTGTATATCCCTCAATCCGAAGATGTTTAGAAGATAGATAAAGTAGACCACGTCCCGGAGCACCCTTGAGATACTTCAAGATGTGTACAACTGCCTCTATGCGAGGTACCAGAGGACTGGTCATGAACTAGCTCACAACACTGATTGCATAGGAGATGTCTGGACGAGTGATTGTGAGGTAAATAAGTCTAAGCTTGAAAGGGAAAAAATATGGAATGAACTTTTTCTGTATTAGCTCACAATTCACACAAGTTTACACGGATTCTCCTTAGAGGAGAGAATACAAGCACAAAATCAGGAAACTGATTACAAAAGCTAGCTAGCCTAATTAATTTCCTAATTTACAGCATTGACCAATATTCTATTTACAGCAAATATCCTCCTTATTATTATATTTACAGTTAATAATATTTGGTAGTATTACTACCGAATCTTTCCTTTTCAACACTCCCCCTCAAGCTGGTTTGAAGATATCCTTCATCAGCTTGCCAATTAGTCTGTCGATCTGTCTTGTAGAAAGTCCCTTTGTAAGCACATCTTCAACTTGCTCGGTAGTAGGAATGTATGGCATACAGATCAATCCGTTTTTGAGCTTTTCCTTGATGAAGTGTTTGTCTACCTCCATGTGCTTTGTTCTGTCATGAACCATTGGATTGTGAGCGATCGAAATAGCAGCTTTATTGTCACAGAACAATTTCATAGGCAATGGATTAGAGACCTTTAATTCTTCCAATAGTCTCTTAATCCATAACACCTCACAAGTTCCATGAGCAACTGATCTAAACTCGGCTTCTGCGCTGCTTCTTGCTACCACATTCTGTTTTTTACTCCGTCAGGTGACAAGGTTACCTCCAACAAAGGTGCAGTAGCCAGAAGTTGACCGTCTATCAATAGCACTCCCAGCCCAATCCGCATCAGTATAGGCTTCAACTTGCAAATGCCCACGGTTTTTTAATAGTAGGCCTCTTCCAGGGTCCCCTTTAGGTATTTGGGAATTCTGTAGACTACATCAAGGTGTTCTCGTCCAGGTGAATGCATGAACTGGCTAACCATGTTGACTACCAAAGCTATATCTGGACGTGCATGTGACAAGTAGATTAGTCTTCCAACAAGTCTTTGATACTGCTCTCTATTCAGAACTTCTTCAGCTTTAGAAGGTTGCAGCTTAAGGTTAGGCTCAATGGGTGTCTCGACTGGTTTACATCCTAGCAGACCTGTCTCACTAAGTAAATCAAGAACATATTTACGTTGATTCACAAATATACCTTCTTTGGATCTAACAAACTCCATTCCAAGAAAGTATTTTAATGCACCCAAAATCCTTGATCTCGAAGTCAGCTGCAAGTCTCTTTTTCAGTCTCTCCAATTCTTCATTGTTATCACCTGTCAAGACTATATCATCCACAAAGACAATTAAGACTGCAACCTTGCCTTCTCTACTGTGTTTATAGAACATGGTATGGTCAGCTTGGCTCTGACAGTAGTCACAACTCTTCACAGCTCTCTCAAATCTCTCAAACCAAGCTCTAGGGGACTGTTAAAGACCATATAAAGATTTTTTCAGTCTACAGACTTTATTAGGTCCCAATTTTCCCTCAAACCCAGGTGGTAGATTCATAAAGACCTCCTCCTCAAGATCTCCATTTTAAAAGGCATTTTTTTACATCTAACTGGTGTAATGGATAGCTGAAATTCACAGCTAAAGATAACAAGATTCTGATTGAGTTTATCTTAGCTATAGGAGCAAAGGTTTCCTAGTAATCAATTCCATAGGCCTGGGTGAACCCTTTTGCTACTAGTCTTGCCTTGTACCTCTCTATGCTACCATCAACTTTACATTTCACAGTAAAGACCCACTTGCAACCTACTGTTCTTTTCTCCTTAGGTAAATCAACTATCTCTCAAGTACCACTTCTTCTAATAGCATTCATCTCTTCCATCATTGCTAACTTCCAATTCGGATCATCAAGAGCTTCCTGAATGTTTCTCGAGACAAACAAGTGTGAGATTTTTGAGGTAAAAACCCTACGAGTATGAGAGAGTTTTTCATAAGAAAGGTATTTGGCAATGGGATATTTTGGATATTTGGTGCAAGTTCGAGTACCTTTCCTAACAGCTATAGGAATATCAAGGTCTGATGGTTCTTGGTTAGGAGAAGCAATAGGAACTGAAGATGAGTTAGGGACAAAACTACCTATGATATCTGGAGGTCCAAGGGGAATAGG